AGTCTCTCTCTTATTTTGTTTGTGTTCATAACATCATGATTTCAAACACATATTCTCTGCCTTATTTTCTCTCTAAAACATTTATTTCACAACCACTGGTGAGAAACTGCATAAAACAGATGTTTTTCAAAAAGCTAAATCTGACAGATTATTGCTGGCCTGGTGTTTCCACACCTGACAGTCTGGTAGACTCAGTTTAATTAGGGACCATTATTGCAATATTTGCTACATTTTCAGCTGCACTATGTGAAACAATCCAACCTAATTGAAAAACCTGTTCACCTTATCACCTGTGGGGGCGCTGCACCCAACTCTATTGATGGAAACAACATAAAAGCCTCTGAAGAAGACATGAGCAGAACTTTATTCTTCACAAAATGTAAACATAAATGAACTAAATGAAGTTTTAGAAGATTTTAGAGAATTCTGTTTTCTTTGTCTTTTTTTGTCATGTTTGTTTTGGCTGTATTTACATATTCAAATCAACTCAGACTATCCTCTCTCATCCGGCTAAAGTACATGAATTCAGAATGAATTACATTGTTATTTATTGCTATACAACATGTGAAGAAATATGAATACTTTTACAAGGGACATTGAACAGGAAAAATAAAAATAAGACAATATGCATGGATATGCATGCGAGTTGGGCACCAGGAAACCGATTCTAACGATTTATAAAGCAGGAAAGCACAGAAGATAGGAAGCCCAGTTTGGACCACAAGGGTTTATCAGGCAGGGTTGAAAGAAAAGCTAAAAGCACTTGTGAAGCCTTCCTCCATTCCCCTGGAAGCACTTAGCTCCACCACACCCTATCAGCTCCATTTCCAGGACGGATGGAGCAGAGGGGCAGAGAAACAGACAATGGGATGGCGGGATAAGAAAGAGGAGGCAGGTTTTTTTTTTATTCTTTGTATAACCACATTACAATCTCCAGGGGGACACAACAATGCAGCAACAACCCAAACACATAATCAGCTGAGGTCCACATTCTCACAGGTTCAAATCAGTAGTTACAAAATTTCTTGTCTAATCCCATGACAATCTTGTGGAAATACTGCAGTGACAAAGAGTGATGATAATCATGAGCCAGACAATCTATTCAAAAAAAAAACAAACACTGCAGAAGCTGCCATGTTGTGCAAGCCTGTCAAAAGAAAACCGTTCTTTCAAAATATATAAATTAAGTTTATTCACAACAAATGTCAAATTGGGGAACTTGAAAGACAAACCGTTACAATTCAAAGCCATCCGGGAAACTTCCTTTTCAATGAAGCAATGGAAAAATACAGCCAAGCATACCAATTAACGAGCACAATGTGTAGAGACGTTGGAATTATCAATATATATCTAATTTAATTAAAAGTGACAGGTAAAGCTTTGTACAGACATTAAAAGTAGTTCTCATAAAAAGATAAAAAGGAGTGATATTTGTGTGGTGAGGACTAATAACAAAGTTGGTATAATTACAACTGTGTGGTCTGGCAGCATTGCATCTATCAATCCAGAGAAAGACAGCTGAAGATGCTGGACAATTGTTCTAGTAGTGAAATTCTTTTCAACCCATGAATCATTCATGCATAACTGAGAATCATCCTGTCAAGTCTTAGCTCACAAAATATATGAGAAATTCCCAAGAACCACTGATTAGACCTCTTTAATGACCACCAAAAGTACACACATTCCCACCACAGACATAAACATACAGCAGCATGGAATAAAATGACAGCTCTTTCTCTAATACCACAACGGAACCATCACTATCACAAGAGGGTGATAAATCTTAAATCTAATGGCTACTAGGGTGAGAAATTGCGCTTCAATGGTGATTCTGCAAAGCTTTTGTTGACTGCAAACAAAGATTAAATATAGTTTTGAAGGCCCAGTCAGGAGATACAATCGGTGGACACTGGGTGGCTTCAAGAGCATGCTTACACACCTACACAGCTCTTGACCAGCCAGGGAAATTAAAGCCATAGCTCTCGTTTTTTCTCACCGTAAATCAGAGGATCCATTAAGTCGCTACACGGGTGGGCGCCAGACCCCTCCAATGCCCCAGTTTGGTGACTTCCTAACGAGTTTCATGTGAGAAGCATTAAAACTGGTGCTAAACCAGTGAAACTGACTGGAACAGGATAAGCTAGAGTGGTTTCTTCAACCAATTATGTCTTGTGCAGTTTCATCAAGTCGTATGACAACTGTCTTCAAACACTAACACATCAGCAATGCTAACAGATGCTACAAGAAGAATACAAATGTGCAGAATCTGCATAAAATACCATATTTCTGATGCAAATCATTCGCTCCCGCAGCAACGTAGGACATTACAAGACAAGATAAGAACAGTACCTGGAAGCAGGATGTTTCCTGGATGTTATTCTTCACACATCACCTGACTTTCTGTGTATACCGACAACTGTGTCTTACGTAAGAAGCTTTTGTGCACTGTAATACTACTTAAGCAAGCACAGTCTTTAGACATTTCATTATAAAGATGATCACTGTTTAACTCAGCAGCTGAAACATTTCAAGTTCTCAACAACAGTCACATCTGAGTGCATTTAAAGACTTCCTTCATGTTCAACCACCTTGAACTTTTGCACACTATTGTAAAGGGGAAATGATTTTCAAGATATCCTCATATAAAGGCCTAAGTGTATATTCATGACCACTGAGTCATTTTTTTAAAATAAACCCCTGTTAGCTAAAATTATAGCTACAAGTGTTTTGGGGGTGTAACTCTACCAGCTTGGTACATTTAGAGACCATTTTTTTGTCTACTTTGTTTGAAAAATAGCTCAACATCTGTGAGCTATTAATTATAAAGACCTGCCACAAATTCACTATAAGATTTAGGTCTGAACTTTGACTGGGCCACCCAAACACTGTTCTAAACCACTATCTTGTAGCTCTGGTTGTATGTTCAGAGTCATTGTCCTAATGGATGTTGAACTTCTGCCACAGTCTTACATCTCTGATAGCTTTTCTCCCAGGATTACCTTTTATTTTGTTCCATGCTTCTTCCCTTCCACTCTGATCACATTTCATGGTTAGATTGCTGTCAACAGGGTGATGTGCAGTGTTAGTTTTCAGTCTCACAGATCAAGTTGCATACCAAATAGCTGAATTTGCTCATTTATCAGAGCACCTTTCTTCTCCCAGTTGGCTTTTTCCACTGTGTCAGTGGTCTCCACACCTGGTCCTGTATGCTTTGTGCATGTAAGACTTGTTATGGGTATTTTATAGATTTCCAGACGTGTTAATTACAGGGCTAAAGGTTTTCTTGTCAACAGATGAGCTATATCTCTGTGCAGCTCCTCTAGAGCTGCAATAGTCTACTTCATTGCTTCTCTTGATGCTTTCCTTTTCTGGTCTGCCACTTTAGACCATGTGTCTAAAGTGGTGTGAAGTTGCATTATGCCGTTTTCATTTACACCCGATGAATCCTTTTATCTTCCTCTCCACATTTTCCTTCCATTTACTTCACTGACTCCATATGCTCTATATGCATGAGGTGTTCATTCACTTTAAGGTATGACACAGGTGGAATAGGTAGAGAAGAGTGATAGGCTTCGAGAGTTGTTCAGTAGTGAAATGAGTCTGTAAGAGGAAGGCTGACAGCTCTCCACTTCTCAGAATAACTTTTTTTTAAAAACACTTGACTGAAACTTGCGTGCAGACAAATTAGTAATGCGTGTCCTCATTTATAAATGCCCTATTGCAAAAATAAGACACCACTCTGAGGTGCCAAATTTCTGAACATTCCTCTCATTTCCTTTTGCTGGCGTATGTCTCATCATTCAAAGTGCATATGCCCACAGTTCCATCATAATATCAAACAGTGCCTAACTCATTCAGCTTCATTCAAAAACAAGCAACTTTCAAGTATAAGATTGTAGATGTGAGTAAAGCTAGAAGGAGCAAAGCCCTTTAATACCGTCAGGTGACCTGAGAGCAGTCTAATGGACAGAGTGACGCAGCCTCTAAATCTTTTTGCTGTACCCAGGCGTGAGCACCATCACATGGGGGAGAGAGAAGGAACTGGCTTGTACTAAACCACAAGGCATCAAATACAGAAAAAGATTAAAGAAAAAAAAACTGCTTGAACTATTTCATGAACAGATTCAAAGAAAGCGAATATAAAGAGTGACGTTTGTATTTGATGCTGCTATTCTGGAGAAATAAAACCCTGCACATCTGTTGATAATGCAACCAAAAAAATTTGACTTGTTATGCTTTTCTTATCTTCACTCTCACTCAAAGCCACATTAAATCTTTATCACCCCACATCACCCTTCAACTCTGCATCACTTCAAACTTCACTGAAATTAGGATAAAGATTATTTTACTGATGCACTCAGCTGGAAACACGACTGACTGAGCATGAGCAAAGCAATAAATCCCTGAAAAGCTGCAGAACCTGACCTCTGCCGATTCTTGCAAAACAAGAATAAATTTTCTGCATGCAGAAAACTCGTTTGAGCGAACTGTTCCTTTAAATTCTTAGCCCGACGCGTGTTTGGATCAACCCGCCTTGCAGCTCTGAGTTTCTTTCTGCCCAGCCAGCGCACTTGTTGTTGGGGTTGGAGCTGAATGGGTCTGGCACCAGCTTTCTTTGCCAAAAATCTCCGTTTATCAACTCCTGCAACAAAGGCTGGCGGCAGCCGCTTGGCTCTGCGCTTTGGAGCGCGTAAAACCGGGCTGCAACGCATGGTAATAAACACAACAGTCGGGTTGACTGAAATGACTGACATTTAAGTCATGCTTCATTTTGAAGCATGTTAAAATGGTGAATTAGTACAAAAACAAACTCCACAAAGTTGCAAGAGTCTCTCTCTTTCCACGACATGCTGGATTGTTTTGATTTCACAAATACAAAGTGAAAAGATAAATGCGCCGACAGCTCACTTCTTCTGCTAGATTGTACTCACCTTTCAGTCCGCCCAGAGTCGCAGGGAGGCAGTTCCCGGGCATCAGGCAGCACATCGGGACCAAAACAAGCAGCACACTGCTGAGGGTCATCCCGTCTCCCATCCCCGAAACTACAGCAGATCTGACTTCACCAAACAGGCTCGTTTCAGCCTCGCATCCTGATCCACTTTCCGGGTTTGCAGCTTCACCTGAACAGATTTATTCTAATTGGGAAATTAAAAAAAACGCGTTTCACTTTGTTCTCCTCCTACAGGTTAGTCTGTTTCACCGGCTGCCGTTTGCACAAAGCGCACAGAAAGAAGCGCATCCGCTCGGTGCTGATGTGAAGCGTTTGTATTCCACCAATAAAGCGAAACAGCAGTTTGGTTTGGATGCACCGGACAACTACGCAACGAAGTAAGTCAAAGTGCCGTACTCTTCTGCTGGGGATAATGTCCACTGTCCCGGGCTATAATAATCCGACCAGCCTCGCTTTTGACGCTCCGCTCTGTGCCCTGCTGTTTCCGAGTCTGCGAGGGGAAAAAAGGAAAAAGAAACCAAACCGTTTATTCCTTTACAGCTAAAACTGTTTGGATATTTGAAGAAGAACGAGTCGCTTTGAGGAGTCGATTCGGTCCGGAGCGCAGGAACGAGATCGCGGAGACGCGGAGCGCGTTGACAGCGGCTCGCGATGAAGATGTGTTCAGCAAAGACGCTCGAGCGCCGACTGGAAGCCGGTAGCCCCGCCCTCCACTGAGCTCAGAGAGAGGGAAGTCCAGGTGAACTGGTGATGTCACACCGGCAGGTGCGCAGAGGATTAAGTTCTCTCAGGACCAGAGAAAATTCCTCCTGAACTGAGTGACTGTCATGAGATTTAGTCAAACAATTTCATTAGGAAAAACCAGCTTTATAGATAAATCTTCTATAATAATCTAGAGAAATGTAAAAATTTATAGCGAAAACATCAAAATCATTCATATTTTGGAAAAGTGTTGCTTAGAGATTTATGTTTCTCAAAACAAGCTAAGAAATTAAGAAAGTAGCCTTTTAAAAAAATCTCTAATTATTATAATAAAGTAACATAATGACGTTATAAACATGAATAATGACATCACAACTTAATGTCTAGATCTGGACTCCAAATCCTCCAGATTTCAAATCAATGACGCATTTTTGGAAACGTGCTGGACAAACAAGTCTGATCCATGGAGTGAATTAATCTTTCAGACTATAAAGTAACTTGTTTTTCTTTCACTGAAGCTCAGACGATTTGGAGCCTTGTAACCTTTGATGTCTTCAAGATTGCTAAATGAGGACTGAGTGAAGAGGAAAGGTTCTAGGAAAAGACTATAAAGAGAACCAGTACAAAGAAAAGGAGATTCCTGGAGAATCCTGCAGGGCTGGAGAGCAGAGGAACCGCTCTGCATCAAATTTAAATATTCTCTCACTTTGGTACGTATGAGGCAGTATCAACAGTATCAAACGCTGCAGTAACATCTAAAAACACTTCATGACGGATGACAACCCTAAACTGAATCACTCTTGTCAATAGCTTTTAAATCAATCCATGTTAAAATTTTTAACAAATAAATGTTGTATTTTAGTTCATTTAAACTTGTGTGGATGGAGTCTGTTTTCAATGAAAAGGTAAATTTAGGTAAAGCTAAGAATCTGGCTTGATTACATGCTATGATAACTCTCATAGTTAAATTTTGAACTCTCCCTGGTGTGATTTGTACAAATTTGTCAATAAAACAGCATCAGAAGGAGGCACAGCATCTGAAATATGTTGCATTTATGGCAGAAGTAGAGCAAAAATTACTTTATAAAACACAGCAGTCCTAGAAAAAGTAGGTTACAAAATGAACTGCAGTCATTCCCGCTCAGTCTGTTTTTTAATCTCTCTTGATTAATTGTACTCCAGCCATAAGCTTTTTTTCCTGCTTCCTTTTATCCCCTCTTCTCCTTCCCAGGAGGACAGTGGCCAACCTAGGAGCGCTGACCAACAGATTTCATGGGGCGTGGGCACAGACTTGTACCAGTTGACAGAATAAAGGAAAGGGTCACCGAGGAGACCAGATTAAAGGATTTGGTAGACGATGAGGGCTGGAGGAGGAGGAGCAGGGCTAAGGGTCAAGGGTGAGGCAGAAACGGTTAAGAGAAGCCAAGGGGAGCTAAGAAGCGAGCGGCGCCATCTCTAATCGAGCCTGATTAATCTCACGCTGTGCGTGTCGCATCTTTATGCAGGCGATGACTTTTGAATGGCTAAACATCGCTCTGTATAACAAAAGATGTCTTCATCGGGGGAAGTCACTGTAGACTTTTGGAGCTCAGAGCCTTTTTTAGGACTTTTGGGGAAATAGCTAGAGTGTACTTTGGGTAAGATTTTCAACTTTTCAGTCTCAGAAACTTCCTTGTTTCTCCTGGAAATTTTCTGAGAGAAAAATAGTGTTTTTCTAGCGAATCTGTGACTTTTCAAACACAGAAATTTCTTTATTTTCTGACGGAAATGTAGTCTTCCTTTTTACTTTTTTTTTTTTACAATAATGTGCCACCCTAAAGATGACATGAGGAGAGTGATAGCTGCAAGTACAGCTGCTGCCCCCTTCTGGACAGGTGAAGCAGAATAAATTTTTTTTTTTAATTATTTGAATCATTTAAAATGTATCAAGATATTCAGAAGTAAATAGAGAAACACACAGACTGGAACCCAAAAAAATCACAGTGCACATCACCTAAAAACCCAAATTTGCATAAATTTAAGCTAAAGATTGGCATACATTAACCAGATGCACCAACCAGAGAACAGCAGGGCTTTAAAGGGATTGTCACAGCTGCTTATCCGTCCCCATACATTAATATTCAGAACCTGATGTAAAAAGACTGCAATCCGTGACCCTGCACTCCTTTGGTTAATGTATGTGTCGGCCTGCATCCACAGCTCTTTGTTCCTAAACACAAATATGTGTCAGCATGTGCATAAATGTGGGTTTCACCCCATACCAACCAGGCTCTGCAGAAGCACTTTGTGGGTCTACATGACGCTGCATGGGTGTGACTAATGGATGGAGGCTGGAGGAATTGTTGTGAGGCAGGACGACGACAGAAAGGAAAATAAGACAGAGGGAACGTGATGAGGGCAGACTGGAGACCAGCTCCTCCAGCAAATGTAATTAAATGACTCTGAATCACTCCGGGAGACTGAAACACAGACGACATTGACCTTGTTCTTGGACGTAGACACAACACTGACATTTTTAAGAAATAAATAAGTAAACCATCTGCATTCATTTAAATGTAGCAAATCCTTGGCTGATGCACTGTATTTTGGTGTGATGTTTTTTATAATCAATAACTGCTTTCTAGAGCTTTTTAGTCTCAGGTTTTTGAAATGTGCTGCAAATGCAGAGGTCTGTAAAGACAAATGATGCTCTTAGATCCAATTCTTGTAGATAAAAAGATTTCTGCGTTAGACTGATGACATTGTGAGTTATGACTGTCTCTGTCTCCCTGCCTTCTTGACTGATTTTTAAGCAAAGTAAGCTGAAAACGTTTACTCCTTCTGTCCATGTTTCATTTATTCTTTACATCCCCCCAAAATTAGGCAAATTACAAGTACAATGCTGCATGTATGAATTTCATCCTAATTCTCTGGCTAAACAAGATTACCAGACATGGAGGTCAGGCTTTGACCTACATACTACACAGTATTTGGGCTGCAGTCGACTGGTGCCCAACTGATTTACCCCCCGTCTCTTACCTCTGCTGAGGAGGAAATGGAACAAATGTCTGAAAAACCTTTGCCTCTAATCCTCAAACAATGGATTGTACTGTTTGATTTATGTTGGGGGGGGGGTTGATTCAAGCAGTGGAGCTGAACTACACTGAGCTCAGGTAAGCCTCCAGATTTGGATCAACAGTTAAAACATTTAATTGCCGACTGATTCTTGAATAATCATGTTTACTCAAGCAGAACAAAATGGGAAGTGATGTTATTTAAAGAGGAATTAAATAGCATTGAATGTCAGCTTGGTTTTAGTACTCTTTGACAATGATAAAATACATATCTGCTGAATGCTACCTTGAACACTTTGAATTGCAACAAAGCATTAAACAGTCCCCAATAGTGGAACAACAAATAAATATTACATTTCGTTAAATGCCATCATCAAAATCATCAAGCAAGCATCATACATAGTGATCATTATTCCAGGCACTAGAAATTAATCACAGCTCTAAACAGGTGGGGTTTCAGCTTTGATTTAAAGGAACTCAGTGTTTCAGCATCTTTTCAGTTTTCCGGAAGTTTGTTCCAGATTTGTTTTTGCATAAAAACTGAATGCTGGAGATGCAGAAACTTATGTGGATGTGTCTTATCCTGCTCTTTGTTTGCATATCTATCTTTAACAATATGAAAACACGATGCAAACATCTTTGTGAGGTAAAGATGCACATTTTGTAACTCAAATATAGACACATTTTTAGGTCAACCACAAAGAATGCAACTATCCCGGCTCAGAAAACAAGCAGTCTCTGGGACAAAGCTCTGATAAAACAAAGAGCTTTTCCTCAATGGGGGGAGGTTGTTCAGAGGATGAGCTTGTGCTGTGCATGTATAAGATATATAAGGGTTCATTCATCAGATTCTCCTCCTCTTCTGCTGAACAACGCTGCAGTACGAGGAAGAAAACTGCAGGTACTTGTAACAAAAGCTCTCAGCCTTGTACTGCCTCTGAGGTGAAAGCCTGAAATGCCCTTCATTCGGCTTTTCTTACAGTTTTTCTCCAATGAGAAGAGCTTTTTATCATCATCCTGTGGGCCAGGATAGCATAAAAACAAAATGGAAGGGAAAATACCAAGTCTGCATAATGTTTCAATATGAGTTTTGCATTATGTTTCAATAATTTATCAGAAAGAGCAGTAAAGATGACAAGTATCATTTGTCACTTTTCTCTTCTAAATACAAAAACGTATCTCACTGAAGTTGTATTTCTGCCTTTACACCAGCATCATGTCTTGGTTTTGTACATTTATCCTCTGATAAGAGCTGATAAACAAAACCTAAAACCCTCCAATGTATCTTTACGTAAAGGTAACATGTTCGGTTTCACTTCTCTTGTGACATTAATTTAACAAAGCCCTTCTTCTATCTCTATTTCCACAGATTTGATGTTTATATCATCAATGAAACTGTTTAAGTTTCAGAAATATTGACACATTATTTCCTGCCAGTGCCTCTGTCGCATCACTTGGGAAAACTGGGTGTGTTATCGGTCTCTGTGCTGTAAATTAAAGATGTTGAAACAATGCTCGGCAATGAATTATTTAGATGCCAAACAAAAGAACAACACAAACACGGTCTGGTCATGTGAAAAACAGACATGGACTCCACATGCAGCTGATGTTCATCTCAGATTGGATGTAGAAACCATTTATCGGAAATGCAATTTGTGGACTCATTCGTCAAAGAAACACAGATTACCCTGGAAAAACACACACACACTCATATGTCAAAGGTCACTGAAATTGATTCCTATGAAATCTAATGTGCTGACGAAGTGACTTTTAACCAAAGATTGCCAACTGACTCTTGTACTGGAACCTCAAATAATTACTATATAGTTATATTAACTTCTTGGTGGATCTCAAACGGCATTGAAATTTTATTTCTAGATGAACTTGTAATGTGAAAAACACATAAATAAAACAGAAAAGTAACGTACCCGGTCATGACACTCCAGCACAGTGTGAATCCAACACTGCATTTTACACAAAACCAAATTTCTACAAATTCACATAAAAAAAAAAG